CCCCATGGTGGTGGCAATGGAAGGAGATCTTCACCGAATACCTTTTGTGCCTTATTAGCTGTGAACCACGTTAACGACCTTTTACAAATTATTACATTTTAAGGAAAATGCCCCTGAGCCATGTGAAGGAGGGTGGTTTTCCAGGTGCAAAGGAATGAGAGCCCCACCTTGGCCTGCCCAGGGGTTGGGACAGGGACCACACAGCAGGCCCCAGGGGGGCAATGCCCTGGTGCCCGGCTGCTGGGGGCTGCACCCAGGCCTGCATCATTTGGGGCCAGGGATCTGGAACACAGACACCCCAATAAGGCTGCCAAAATTAGCCCCTGCACCCCAGTGTTGGCTGGCGAGGAAGAGCCATTCCTGCCATTTCCTTTCTTCAGTTTTGTTTTCAACTTTTAAATTGTTAACCTAAATTTCCACAGTCTCACCGGCCCATTACGCAAATGAGTTCGCTTAAAAATGATAAATGGGAATGTCCCTGGCCTGCCCATCTCCCCACGCAGGACCCTGTCCCTCTGAGATGCCCCAGCCTGAGGGCTCCCCGGAGCTGCCAGGCTCTTCTGCTCCTGTTCGGGTTCTGTGCCCACTGTCCCCAGGCCCCAGGAGGGCAGCGGTGCCGGGGCTGAGCCTGCGGCGGAGACTGTGCCTCTGCGCCCTCTGCTGGCGAGCCCCTGACTGCACAGGCGGGGGATGCCCGGTGCCCTGGGCTCCAGGACCCGCCACCACCGCCGCAGGGTCAGCTCCCCCAGGGACCGGAGAAGGGCCCTCTGCTGCCGCCTTTCTACTGCCCAGCCTCTGCCTCCCGCTCACCTCCTCCCTCCTCGCAAGCTCGTTAGACTTTGTGCTGACCGTGTGACCGGCACGTTCCGCCCCACGCTTCCCCTTTGCTTCCTCTCGCCAAGCGCTCAGCCTGGCTCTGCGCTGACCAACCGCTGGCTCCTCCAGGTCAAAGCCCACAGTTCTCGGGGTACAGCCAGCTGCCCCTCCTGCCCCATCCCCCACGCCATCCAGGTCCTCCACTGCAGCGCCAGGCCAGCTCCGTGTAAACCTGCTGCCTTCATCCCAGGAAAGGGTGGCTTATTTACTTTCTGTCTTGCCACCGGGTATGGATGGGCTGGGTCTGGTGGCCACCAGGTCCTAGCATCAGGCACAGAGCAGGCACAGACCAGAGTCAACAAATGCTGGCAACCCGAAGGTTGGGAGGCTGTGGCTGGTGGGAGGGGCCTCCCTGGGTGAAGGGCAGGGAGCACTATTTTAAAATAAAGACACTTTATTTACAGATAATACAAAATAAGCCACAGGACAAACTACTGTGCCGGGGGAGGGACAGCCCCCATCCTAAACCCCCTCCCCATCCCAGAATAACTTATATAAAAAATTTAAAAGGCCCTAGGAGGAGGGAGGGGCAGGGCTGGAAGCACCTTTGCTGACTGGGGTTGGGGCCTGCAGCCCTCGGCCGCCCTGTTCCAAGGTCCAGTGGACGCTGGCTGGCTCTGTCTGAGTCCTGGGCCTGGACGGAGGGGCAGCTGCGAGGCTGCAGAGGCTCCCGGCCAAGGACCCGCCTTCGGACTCCGAAGGGCTGGAGTGAGTAGGTGGGTAGGAGGCTTGGGGGCGGGCGTGGGGTTGGCATTATTGCAGTGCTCCAGCCAACTTCCTCCTGGCTCTGGCCATGCGTCTGCACCGGGTCCCGGGGAGCCGCTGTGCTGAGCAGGGATGTGGGGTCCTCAAAGTGATGATGTCGTTGAGTCCACCACCTCTCGGCCATTGCAAACGGTGGGGACAAACTGGGAGCCAGACTCTAGGGAGAGGAAGCTGGAGATTGGGGCTGACTCCCCAGGCCCTCCTTAGGGGGTGGGCAGCAGGGGGCAGAGGGAGGGCCCCACCCCGCACCCTCTCCTGTCCCCGGCTGAGGACTCTCAGCAGCCCCGGGAGTGGCCCCTGCTGAGGAGCAGGTGGGGAGGGGCTCAGGCGGAGGAGAGGGTCAGGGCGGACGCTGACCTTGGCCGAGGCGGGAGCCGGCCCTGGCCGCGGTGCTGCCGAAGCGGCTGGTGGGCGCCCGGTGGCTGACCACGTTCTTCTGCGGCTGGAAGAGAATTATGTGCAGCTTGGGCGCGAAGAGACAGCCGAGCACCACGGAGCCGCTGAGGCTGACGGACACGCACATGGTGGTGGTCTGCACCTGCGGCGGGAGGTCGGGGTCAGCCTGTCCCTAAGGCCTGGGCGTGGGGGGGTGGTCAGCACCCAGCCCTGGGCCTCCGGCCCTTCCCCAAGCCCCAGAGGAGTCCTAGGGAGGTTGGGCACAGTCTCAGCACCCGCCCCGGTGGACCGTCCTCCCAGGGGGCCAAAGTGTCAGCTGCGGGGTGATCATACAGGGGGAGTGTGTGTGCACGTGTGTGGAGGGACGCAGGCACGGAGCGCATGTGTTTGGGTGCATGTGTATCTGTTGGGCGTGTGTCTGTGGGGGGGTGAGCGTGTGCAGGTGTGTGGGCCCAGGTGCAGGTGCAGGGGCAGTGGGGAGATGTGGGTGTGTGCCAGGTAGGCTGATGTGTGAGTGCAGGAACACAGGGGTGTGTGTCTACACGCATGTGTGTGTTTGTGCACGTGTGAGTACTCTGGCTGTGTCCCAGGTGAGTCCATGCTAATGCGAATCCTATGCAAATGCAGGCGAGTGAGAGCGACTCCCTCCCCAGCCCCGGCCGCCACCGCCCAGGCAGATGCGGGTGCGGGTGGGGTGCGGGTGCGGGTGCAGGAGCAGTCAAGCCCAGCAGACCCTGGCCCCGACTGCCCGCCATACCTCTGCCCTGGGGGAAGGGCCTTGGCAGGGGCTCTTGTCTCGGTTTTCCTGCTCCTTTAATTGTTAAGGTTGTCAGTTCAGGCCCTGCCCTACACGCCCCAGCTGAGTGCCCTCAGGGAAAGGATTGAACCTCCCTGAGCCTCCGTGTCTTGTCGGCTGTAAAATGGGGAGAGCCACAGAGTTTACTCCAGTTGAGGGGAGGCTCCAAGACGATCCTTTTACCACTCAGAGCCCAGCTCATCTGTCGCCTCTGCAGACAGGGCTTCCCTGACCCCCCACCTGAAGCGGCTCCTTGAAGCTGAGGAGACCCACTGGGACACTGGGTGCCAGTTAGAGCTTTGCTTGGAAGCCACCAACGGGGGTCCAGTGTTCACCGGCTGTATCCTGATCTCTGTCCCCTCTTTGCCTCACCTTCCTTGCCACCCCTGGTTTCATCTCTCAGCCCAGAGTTGCACAGCTCTGGGGGCACCACGCCACACGGCACGGCTCCAAGGGGCGTCCGGGGTGGCACCCTCTGGAGCCGCGTGGCTCCCTAACCGTGCCATCCTCACTCTAGCTCTCCACCTCCGCCTCCGCCTCCCTGTCCAGCATTTGTGCCTCCCTCCTCGATGCAGGGGGCAGTGCCCACCCTCTGCTCCAGTCGCCTCCCCCATCATCTCTACCCCAACCTCTTCAAATCTGCCTGTCCTCAGAGCCCAGTTCAAGGACTCCTTTTCTAAGAGGCTTTTCCTGCCCTGGCCGGGTAGCTCAGTTGGTTGGAGTGTCGTCCCGTACACCAAAGGGTGCTGGGTTCAATTCCAGGTCAGGGCACATGCCCAGGTTGTGGGTTCGATCTCCAGTCAGGGCGCATATGGGAGGCAATTGATTGATGTTTCTCTCTTACATCGATGTTTCTCTCTCCCCCTTCCTCTCTCTAAAAATCAATAAAAAAATGAAAGAAGCATTTCCTGATTCTCTCCCCCCGCCCCACACACACACCCTCTTCTGCGTTCTCACGGGGGCCTTTGTCAACCTAAACCAGTCAGCAGCATTTCCTGAGCTGGCCCTCTAGTCAATCCCCTGGTCACCCACCAGCTCCAGTCAATCCCCTGGCTCCCCAAACAGAGCCAAGGTCTCCCCCCAAGGCCAGCCCTCAGCACAGCAGGGCAGAGCCTCTGTTCATCAGACACATTTGCACCCCCACCCCCCAGACCAGGGGATGGCATCCAAGTCCCCAAGTCTGTCCTCAGTTCCCTCTAATTCCTCCGCCTCCTGGCCTTCCCGCCTTCCCCAGGGTCCAGTCCCCGCTGGGCCACCACACACTGTGTGCCCTGCCCCGGGTGAGCCTGTAACCTGCTGGAGCCTCCGAGTTATTGGAAGATTAAACCAGACACCAGGAAGCAGACAGGCTGGTGTCCCACCCCCGAGCTCACCCGGTAGTCACTGGAGGTGACATAGAAGATGGGCAGGAAGGCCAGCCAGATGATGCAGGTGGTGTACATGGTGAAGCCGATGAACTTGGCCTCGTTGAAGTTCTCTGGGCACTTGCGGGTCTTAAAGGCGTAGAGCGTGCAGAGCGCGATCAGCAGCACGTTGTAGGCCAGCGAGCCCAGCATGCTCGCGTCCCGGTGGTTGCAGCGCAACGTCACCACCTCCCGCCGCTCGGGGGCCGTCTCCTTGCCCGTGCCTGGTGCCTCCACCACCAGCCAGGCGGTCACGATGAGCAGCTGGCCCGAGATGAGCGCCAGGCAGATGGCCACCTGCGAGGCGGGGCTGATGAAGCGGGGCCGCTGGGCTCCCTCGCGGGCCCCGCCGAAGATGCGCGCGATCCGGTTGGTCTTGGTGAGCAGGGCCGAGTAGCAGACGGAGAAGGCGGTGCCCAGGCCCAGGCGCCGCAGGGTGCACACGGCCGTGGAGGGTTTGGCGATGAAGACGAAGGTCATGCAGTAGCAGAGGAAGACGCCGCCCAGCAGGATGTAGCAGAGCTCCCGGCCCGAGGCCTTGACCACCGGCGTGGAGTTGTGCCGCACGAACACGCCCAGCACGAAGAGCGTGGCCAGGGCGCCCAGGCAGGCGATGGTGACGGGCCCCACGGCCCAGGCGTCGCCCCAGCGGATGTACTCCTGGGGCAGCTCGAAGCAGCCCGTGAGGCTGGCGTTGGGCCAGTAGCCCAGGCCGCAGTCGGCACAGGTGAACTCGTCCAGCCGGTACTCGTAGGGCTGGCAGGGGATGCAGAGCCAGCAGCAGACCTCGCCGGGCTGCACGCTCTTCACCTCGTGCTGCAGGCAGGGCTCGCTGCAGCGAGAGGCGGGCAGGGGCCCGGCCGAGGGCGCGGCCCACGGGATGAGGCTGGTGTCCAGCGTCAGGCCTTCTGCCCAGTAGCCCACCTTCTGGTAGCGGTAGCGCCCGCTGCCGGCCCGCAGGTAGGTGAAGATGTTGTAGCGGCCGATACCATCCCCGAAGCGGTCGAAGCGGACCTCGCTGTGGGTGTCAGCCGGGCGGAAGGGGGCT